AATTTTACCTGCTTTTTCCTTTCCGGGTCACAGGGAGCCAGTGTCCATGACCAGAAGTCACTGTGAGAGGCCAGGGACACCATGGATATGTCTCCAGTCCATCACAGGGACACACAGAGACAAATTCATTCAACCTTTATTTAGACAGGTAATCCCATTGAGCCTCGAGGACTCATTTACAAGAGAGACCTGATAAACCTAAATGAGACAATCCATTCACTCTCACTCACATCTAGGGACAATTTAGAGTTACCATTCAGCCTAACATGCATGTTTTGATCTGTGGGAGGAAACCGGAGTACCCAGGGAAAACACAGAAAGGTCCCAGGCCTGGATTCTATCCTGTAACCTTCTCCCTGAGAGGTGACAGCTCTAAGTGAAAATTTATGACCGCAACATTACTGCCTATTACCGTCTTTGATTTTGACTGATGTTTCAATGAGACATGTGGAAATCTCCAACATATACTTTGACCGTCTGAAAAAAGCGCTGCAGTGGATTTTAAAGAGTGCCAAGTTTACGGGATCCGTTTTTACAAGCCCATCCTGCTGCTCCGGCTTCGTTTGTGGACTCGTGCAGAAGTGGATGGAACGAGGACAAGCAGATGTTGATTTGTGGTCCATGCAAGACAAAAACACACCTGCGCTTCATGTTGAAGGACTCTGCACAAAAACTGACCCCCCTCTCACAATGAAGAAGAGGTAATTTAGTGTCCTCTGCTGCCCTCTAGGGGATTATATGAGAAACTGACAAGCTTTGAGACTTCTTTTTTCCTGTCTCTCTATTTTAAATGAAAATATACTTTATTTTGGGTGTGTCTGATGTAAAATACAACTAAAACATACACCTCCCCCCATGTGTCCACAACTATTAACATACAAACAGACAGCTTCTCCGGGTGGCACCACGGTGTGGATGAAGCTGAAATGAATGCCTCTTTGGTCAAACATTCAATTAGAGCCATTTCTGAGCTGCAGGAGATTTGCACCACTATGAGCCCGACATGAAAAATGCAAAATCCGTGCCTTTTGTGCAGCGAAATTGATCCCTGTGGGCTGTGGGGACAATGGCCGCAGTGGAGAGTGATCTAAGGAACAAATAATTAATGGGGAGGGACAACGTGACTCATGAGTTTTTAATTAAAAACTCATAATGAGTCTGAAGATGGCCTCTGTGGAGATCATATCAGAGGATTTAGAGTTTTAGATGAAATCGTTAAGTTTGGAGGTACTCATTGCAAAGTATGAAACCAAACATGAAAAAAGGGTCTTTTGAGCTCACTTGGTGCTGTATGAACGAGTTAAACCAGTTTTCCAGATTTATTGATATGCAATTCTGAAATGTGGGTATAAAAAAAAAAATCACCTTTATTGGCATAGTTTAATCTACAAACCTGTGAATACATTTGTACTAAAATAGCAAAACACCACTCGGGACTTCTCAATCTCAAACGGCTCTTCCTGTTTTCACTTATAGTATACGTATTTAAAAACGCACAGTGGAGCTGGCATCCAACACCAAACTTTACAATTGCTTACAAATTTAAAATTTAAAAGGATCACCAACTTATGAGATCAACTGATCTCATTTGAAAAAAATTCTGTAAACTGTTTGGTTTTTGTATCCATCCATCCATCCATCCATCCATCCATCCATCCATCCATCCATC